GAGATCCACATATTTTGAGAGGTGCAATTTGGCATTTGGATGGTCTAGCAACACCCATATGACTATGTTAACTCTTGAGGTGGACGTCAAGTACGTCTGTGAAATCTCCCAATGTTTTCAGGAAATTTTTACAGATGCAAAACGGCTGTGTTTCCGTCATTACTTCTTACAAAGCATGTCGCACTGCGTTAACTTAAAAGTACACAAAACTGGATATGTTTAACAGCGCTGCTGTCTCAAAAATGCGTACAATTCGCCAAGGATGCCCTAATATACACTGTTCGCTTCATGGGTCATTCAGCCACGAAGTACTGGCAGTAAATGAGCCACACGTCACGCTCGCTCACATACGAGACTTTTTGGCATGAACGATGCATGGGTTGAAGTGAATGATTCAAAGGTGCGCGCTATTCGTCTTGGCGTTTGGTGTGTACTTACTATAAATGACAATTAGATGAAAGTCATTCTCCCAGTATCCACCGCCAAGCTTATTATCATGGGTTTGAAAATGTGGGGAAATTGGGATGGAATGTGACGGGGCCAGTTCTTTGTAGCAGCTTTCAAAATAATTGAAGGGTCACAAAGTGGACGGGCGTTTTATTCCTCGTGCGGGGCCGACTGTTGTGATAAGGCTAACGTGCGCCACATTTTATTACCGCTGCGGAGCCGACTGTTGTGATAAGGCTAAACGTGTTACCCGGCAGCTTGGAAGCCCACTTCGTGTGTTTAAACACGCAGGGCTGTAGTTACGGCAAGCCTGTAAGCCGAGCTTGTCGTAATGCCAACCAACCAAACATTGCGTAACTTCGGCCGCCGGCCCGACCAGTTATGTCAAACTCGTGATGGATATACGTCGAGCAGCCGCCGACATTACCGTCTTGGAAATTTCAGAAAACGCATCACATTTTTGAGTGCGCGGTAACTGTGATCGAACAGTTGGTAGATCTTTGTATGCAAGCTGTTCAAGCAAGCTCAGGCGGGTCAGCCCCACAGCACTACAATACCGACAGAACTTCATTTCCCTGGAAACATTTAGATCAAATTTAGCATATTTAGTATATGTCAAGTTAGATAAACATGGGAAGCACAAAACTTCCAATTATGAAAAACGAATATTAAGGAACCAAACTGGCTACTTATCTCGGCTATCCAGGATAAAAGCTCTCGAAATAAACATCTTTTAACACGCGCTCGGGTGGGGGTCAAATTGAGCCCACCCCGGAAGGTTCTTCCAAAATGGTTTCCGAGCGGCACGGCGTGGCCGTAATAAATTTTACACAGTCGTAAACAATTGAATAGCGGATCGTTTGGCACCAAAACTTTAGATGTACCTAGCAAGGTCGCTGACCTATACCACAAGTCAGGCCATGGTTTCAGCAAAGGCAATTTCTAGAGAATCCTTCAGTCTGATCCAACAACGGAGTGTTAGACGAAGCCATACATCTCTGAAATGCTTTATTAGGCAACACAACAGTTGAATGAGCAAATTACATTGACCTAAGGTCAGGTATGTAGGACACACCAATGTCAAAACCAACCTGTTTTGTTACTCTAGGGCTTCTGTATGGGATAGTTTCTGGTGCTCTTTTCGAATTTATTGAAGCAGGAACCGCATTATACATCATCCATGAACTTCTCAGTGGTCAGAATAGGTCATTAACCTACAATGACCCAAATAACCTACAATGACCTTTTAGGAACATACTGTCTAGCGTAATCTTTGTCGCTTAGTCAAGTGCACAACTCAAAGCAATCTTGTGTTATTTTGGTCGTCTTGACCTTCAAAAAGTCAAAAAAGGTCACTGACCTTAAATGAGCATGCGACCTTTTACTTAGAAACGGTTATCTAGGTTCTGAGGGCACTTTCGAGACCAACCTGGAATTTGACCTTGTTTGACCTTTTTGACCCTAAGGTCATAATCTAGGAATATAAAACTTTGACCTAAGTGAGTTTACGTACAGGTCAACACACCCTGTAAATTTGGTTGTCTCTCGCTTTCTTAGTGCCCGGGATCTTAGTTGGGGTCAAATTGAACCGCCACTCGAGCGAAGGGTACCTAGCCGGCCACTCGTGCGCGTGCTAAAGACGGGGAAAATGGACAACCGTACTTGCAAACGTTTGGATCGGCGTGCGCAGCAGGTCATGTAAACCTCAGCGCCAGCCATAGATCCGTCGGTTCAGTGGTGTTATTTTTAGGACTTATTCAGAATCTAAGCAGCCAACCAGAGGGAATTTGGACTGAAGCGGCATGGTAAAGGGACCATTACATGTGGGGTCATCTTAATTAGGCCGACTGGTATGACTAATACCTTGCGGGCGTGCTCAGCCATGCTCAATAGACGATTCTCTGAATCAAAACAGCTTGCGGGCTCAGACACCGATCAATGGAATGGATGTGCCCTTGGTCTCCTGCACTTGGAGAGATAGCTTACTCTCAAAGTCATCTGAAGCCCCAGGACGCTTGCGGTGCTGTGAAATGGCTCAAAATATTGTCGTTGGCATCGCGCCTGCAGCTGGGCTCACCAGCGCGCAGCAAGCGTCGACAGCTCAGGGGAAACACCGGCACGCCGGACACTCGCGATTTCTGGGTGTGCTTTGACGCAGCTGCTGACGCAACCGGCCGCTACCTGTAGCCTTTCCCCGGTTCTCGTTGCACCATCCGCCTGTTTCCAGGCAGCGGCCAACCAGGGGAAGTCACGACAGCAGGGCCAGTGAGTGCGGGACGCGGATGCAGGTGTCGTCACTCAGCTAAGCTCTAGCCACGGCCGCAGCCGCGCACTGAGCTTGCCATTGACGTGACCTGAAATCACGAGGAGCCGCCTCCTCTCCAGCTACACCAAGGATCGGCGAGTGATGTGGTCGGGTCTCTTAGGGGCGCAAGATGTGTAGTCATCGTAGCATCAGACTTCAGGGCATAAACCTGGAGGTTTTTATCACACTCGTGTAAATATTTGGCCGACTCCCCAGCTTTATCGTAGCAAACCGCCTGAGAAGATGCTGCACAACCAAAGCAGTCACCCGCGAGGGGACCGGTGGTTTGTGGTGACGGGCGAGGGGGCTGGTCTTGGGGCTTGGGCTAAGATCAAAAACATTTGCAACGACGACCAGAGTTTGTCACGTTATCATATGCAGATTGCGTTGTTGGAACGACGTTCTCAGCAACTCAGTCAGATATCGCTGGCCGGGGACACACCCCGCTGCGCCGCGAGCAGGCTCCTCCCATTAGCCGTGAAAGCTGGCGATGAGGTGGAACTGTTGCTCCGCAGTGGTTTGCCATTACCTGGAGGACTCTGCTCTCAGCAGGGCCCGCCGGACATACAGTCTGCCGTGCCTCAGCCGGGCCCGCCCGACATACAGTCTGCCGTGCCTCAGCCGGGCTGCCTCAACCTACAGTCTGCCATGCCTCAGCCGGGCTGCCTCAACCTACAGTCTGCCGTGCCTCAGCCGGGCTGCCTCAACCTACAGTCTGCCGTGCCTCAGCCGGGCTGCCTCAACCTACAGTCTGCCGTGCCTCAGCCGGGCTGCCTCAACCTACAGTCTGCCGTGCCTCAGCCGGGCTCCCTCAGCCTGCAGTCTGCCGTGCCTCAGCTGGGCGCGGTCACCTGCCGACGCCGCTAGGGTTCCAACCCGGCCGCGGTGCGGCGGCGACCGCTGGATGGCACCTCTCTCCGCGTGTGAGGAGGGGAGGGTGGCGCCTCTCTCCGCGTGCGAGAAGGGGGGGTGCCACCTCTCTCCGCATGCGAGGAGACGAGGGTGGCACCTTTCTCCGCGTGCGAGGAGGGGAGGGTGACACCTCTCTCCGTGTGCCAGGAGGCGAGGTTGGCGTGTCTCTCCGTGTGCGAGGGGGCGAGGGTGGCGCCTCTCTCCGCGTGCGAGGAGGGGAGGCACTGTGACCCGGTCCGCCGACACGACGCCGCTGGAAATGTCGGAGCGTCCCGCTGGCTCTCATGCACGCGCGGCCGCGCGCTGACGTCGTCGTCCCAAAATGGCGTGAAATCGTCCTATCAGCACGCCCGGATTCGTATCGCGGGGGGGGGGGGGGGGTGGCGATTTAATGGGAAGCGATGGAAGTTCGGTTGGGTTGTTGGAACCCCCGCCACGCAGAGCGCTTACTGATCCATTGACGTGCGAGGGAATCCACCGCGGTGCCAACTGCCGAGGTTCTCCAATCTGATCCTGCGGCTATGCGACGTTTGCCAGCACTGGGGCTATAATGGTCGCAGCATATTACGACGACACTGGCACGGGGAGAAGCAGGATCTCCGGAGTGATACGTGTCATTTATACACATACAAGAATGTCGTATGATACGTCATTCGGCTTACACTAGACAGGTGCATTCGTCACCAGTATGAGCTGCATCTCTTTCCCACGAAGCGCGATCGTGCGCGTTAAGGGGGATCGGGTGATCGAGATTGTGTAAGAATGCTTGAGGGGCAAACGCGGTTTGGCCTCGTTTCTTTCCGTGAGACGTCGTGATCAAGCTAAATTTGCTCTGCGATTGTTGACGATAGTCGCTTGACCTTTTCTTTTCATACTCCAAGATGGGTAAGGTTTTGGAGCAGCCAGCCGGACCAAGCCTAAAAACTGTGTGTCACCTCGTTGACTTTATGGTCGTGTTGTCGTGCATGCTATCTGTCCCATTCCTTTCCCATACTTGTCACATTTGCTAGCTTGCAAAATTCCTGTCCTAGGCACTTTGCATTGCTGCTTATGTAGTATTGACTGCAAATAGCCGCTGGAGTGTTTCCGCGGCTGATGTGCTTCGACTGACGTATCCAATGACGTGCCGGTGTGCTGACGTCCCTGATGACGTGCCGGCGCGCTGACGTCTCTGATGACGTGCCGGCGTGCTGACGTCTCTGATGACGCGCCGGTGTGCTGACGTATCCAATGACGTGCCAGTGTGCTGACGTCTCTGATGACGTGCCGGCGTGCTGACGTCTCTGATGACGCGCCGGTGTGCTGACGCATCTGCTGACGCACTGGCGCCTTACAGGCCATATCGAAGAGTCGATCTGTGGGGGCGCTCAGCTCGGCCGGGAGCTCGCCGACGCCTACCAATGACCGCCTGCAAGAGAGCCAGGACACCATCCGCAGCAGGTGACACCGGCCGCTGCTTCCTACCACTTGCCCGCACGTGCTTGGTTTACCCTCGGTTCGGGGGCCTTATAATAGCTCAAGATGTGGGTGGAGGGGAAATGCCAATTTTGAAGTTGTTTTTCTACATGCATTTTCGTAGGATAATTGTGAAACATTCTCAAAAAGTGGTGTGTGGGATCGAGGATCATGGCTCCCCTGGCCCCTGCGTTCCTCCGTGTATGCCTGGCAGTGTGGTACTCTGGGAGGTCATGCGACCGCTACAATAATCAGCCCGTTGCGATAGATCACAGCGCGATGAGAGATCTCGTATCAGCTACTGCGCGGACCGGCAGAACATCTGGCGGGTAGTCCGGCTCGTATTGTACGACTGAGCCAATGAAGGGAAGGAGGCTCTTCCAACGGAATGATGGTGCACTAACGCGTATAAGTCTGAAGTTGTAAGCACTTGGATGGTCTAATTCTGAGCTCAGTGTTCTTGTGCTGAGTTTTCAACCTTGCGTATGCCAGAAGGCACTGGTGTGCCGGCGTTACGCAGCAAACATCGGCCATATCGACAGTTCTCCATCTGTGTACAGAACTCATGCCTATTTAATTTATGGTGCACCTTCCATCTGTATATGACATGGGCGGCAGCCGTTAGATACATAATGGCTGCCGCAAATTTAAATGTGCACCTCAAACTTAACACGCGCCCGGGTGGCCGGCTAGATACCCTTCGCTCGGATGGGGAGGGGGACAATTTACCCCCCCCCCTGAGATCTCGGGAACTAAGAAACCTAGAGACACCAAATTGACAGGATGTCTTGACCTGTACGTGAACTCACTTAGGCCAAAGTTTGAGCCTCCTAGGTCATGACCTTTAGGTCAAATAAGGTCAAATAAGGTCAAACTCCAGGTTGGCCTCTAGAGTGCCCCCTGAACCCAGGCAACTGTTTCTAAGCAAAAGATCACAAGCCCCTTTGAGGTCAGTGACCCTGCTTAACCTTTTGAAGGTCATGGTGACCAAAATCATGCAAGACTGCTCTGAGTTTTGCATGTGAATAAGCGACAAAGATTCCGCTAGGCAATATGTTCCTAAACCAAAAAGTCGACCCGAGTTATCTTAGGTCAATGACCCGTTCTGACTTTTCATAAGTCAGTGGAAGATGTATAATGCGGTTCCTGCTGTCAATATATTCTAAATGAGCACCAGAAATTATCCCATACAGCAAGCCCTAGGGTAATAAGTCAGGTTGGTGTTGACATTGGTCTAACCTTTATACCTGACCTTAGGTCAACGTAATTTGCTCATTCAAAATTTGTGGTGCCTAAGAAAGCATCTCAGAGATGTATGGCTTCGTCAAACTTGCCGTTATTGTATCAGATTAAACGATGCCCTAGAAATTGCCTTTGCTGAAACCATGGCCTGTCTTTGACCTGCCATAGGTCAGCGACCTTACAAAGTAAATACAAATTGTCGCGTCAAACGATCCGCTATTCAACTGTCTGCAGTTACGCAACATTTGGCGCGCCTACGCCGCGCCGTTCGGAAACCATTTTGGAAAAACCTTCGGGGTGGTCAATTTGACCCCCACCCGAGCGCGTGTTAATTTATTGCAAAGGACCGCACACTGATAGGCTTATAAACTTCTTTCTACCCATGGTCTAATGTCGACGGAAATAAAACGCCTTCCGAACACGAGAGCGAAGTCAAGCCAATGCAGCAACAAATACCAATAAAATATAAAAATGTCATACATAGTACACACAAATTAAATCAAACGAATCGGCCAAGATGCTCCCGTGCGTCGTGAAGCCGTGTCTGTATGCGGAGTCACCACTGGAGCCGGCGTGACAGTCGGCGGCTGCGCTTCCGCGCACGGCGCCGATGTATTTTTGGCGCGGACAGCAGCCGGCCCGAGGAGGGTGGTGTCAGCGCCGCTGGCAGCGCGCGTCGCCGCTTCGGTCAGCCAGAGCTCCTCGTCTGCCCGGCCGCCGACGGCGACGGCGCGCCCTGCGCCCGGCGCGCCGCCCCATCGGCGTCGACTCCGGCCGGCGACTGGTGACAGCCTGCGGCGGGAGCGGGCCGACGGGACGGCCAGTGGCGGCTCGACCAGACGACTCCAGCCATGTGGACAGACGAGTGCAGCAGGCTCGGCCAGGCGCGTCCGCAGCCGCGCCGGTGAACTGGCCAGGCTGCTCTGCACTTCTCGACCTCTCTTCTGTCTTCTGGTCATTGGTACCGGTGGTTAGAGGCGAACCATCAGTAGGTTCGTTGGGGAAAATGGTGCACGCTGCTTACGGGCAGTCTTAAGTCGTCATACTGGACATCGAATCGTGTTTTGTTTCAACCAGCACTCGGTCCATTGCGCATCATCAGCGCGGCAGGATGACGAGAAAACACAATCCAAGCTAGTTACCGTGAAAGCATTTAGGAGCTTAAAACAGTCGATTGGCACGCTCCATGTCGATCCCGGTGAATTATGGGAACTTGGTGTGAAGCGCCTTTGATTCATCTGTTTCCGATTAGTTCCTGGCGTACTTGACATCATTCCACATCAAACATCGCGTCCAGGAAATCGTCTGTGATGCATCATGGCGGTCACTTGAAACGTCGGCAGGGACTGACTCTCCTCCGCTGTTCTCCTGGATTGCGTCCTTCCCTCGCGGGTGCCTACGCTTTGCCAGCTAAAAGAGGCCATCGGTACCACATGTGTCGGCCTACTTCTGGCCTGGTTTGTCCGTCCCTGCCTGACCTCGGCGCTCGTGCTGATATCGGCTGTAGCGCGTGACGTCGCGACGGGAACGCGACGTCGACACGGCTGTAGCGGCCCCGACTCACGTAGCTCCGACTCACGCAGCCGCCGCTAACCGTGGAGTCACGGCTGTAGCGGCTCCGACTCACGTAGCTCCGACTCACGCAGCCGCTACTGACCGCACGATCGCCAGAATGTGATGTCCACACACAAACACAAACACACACACACACACACACACACACACACACACACACACACACACACACACACACACACACACACACACACACACACACACCACACACACACACACACACACACACACACACACACACACACACACACACACACACACACACACACACACACACACACACACACACACACACACACACACACACACACACACACACACACACGCGCACACACACACACACACACACACACACACACACACACACACACACACACACACACACACACACACACACACACACACACACACACACACACACACACACACACACACACACACACACACACAGCACTGTCCTAATGTTGCCACACAGAGCTTTGGGACGGACCTGACGCAGCTAATACGGAAGTGTTTGATGGCGAAATTCCGCCCTCTGGAGATGTGTACCATGCACACCTTTTACTTATTTCGCATTTTAATCTCGTAGGCTGGTGGGCATGATTGATACCTATATTTGGGGGGTGAGTGGGATGGCTCTGTCTGCCAGCAGACCATGCAAAAGGTATTTAATTTTTGTTTTGAGAGAGTAGGAAGAAGCCAGTAAGTCTCCTGTGGACCAAGTAATTGCTTACCTTACCTGCTTGCAATACATGATTGGTAACCAGAGTTAGCCATTTTCTGCTTTAATCCGTCGAGTTTTGTCTTAGGACAAATTATAATGCCACAGGGCATGCAATGGGCTTATTTGTTCCATATTCTTGATTTGCCCCAAATTTCTTGAAATGGTCCGTCACGGCTGCTTTAACCAGACGTTTTCCATAGCTGTCATGGTTTGCTGACTGGCAACTGACTGTACTGTATACGCACTATATTTGTAACTCAGGGCTACTCTTAGCTGCATAGCAATTATTATTTGAGTTAAATATTAGTATGTAACAAATGGCTGGACCATCCCATTTAAAATGTGAAGCCAATGTCTCAAACTTTGTCGTTAAATATGAATAAACAAGCCTAAATGGACGCCTTTGCTGCAGCTGAAAAGGCAAGCAGCAATAATGGCATGGTCATCTAAAATTTATGTTGTTTTTGGAGAAGGGAGATTGTTTTGTGGAGCAAACCCATGATTGCCCTTGACATAGGTAAACCATGGCAATCAAAGTAAGTTGTTCAAAGTGATTTAAATTGTTTTGATTTTTGTGTTGTTAACTTTGCCTGATGTCAACAAGCACACACAAATGAAATGAATAAAAATGTAACTTGAAACCAGTCAAAAATTAGCTTTATCATGCTTTTATCACAAATGCTGCCGCCAACAGATAGGTGAGTTGAGATGATGTTCAACATACATGCTACTCTAAGTTGGGTTAAGTTGGTTAAGTGCATGGCAAGTGACGATAGGAATTGTGCAAGAATCAGTCATTCACAACTGGTGCTGTGATACAAACAGGTCAGACAGGATGAGATGAAGTAAGGCCTCTTTGGGATAGGCATGGTTAGGCTACTTTCATGGAAATAAGCACTGGTATTTTGTAAAAAAGTGACAAATGTTTTTTTTCCGACCCCATTTTAACGGAAGTCAGAGGTGTGTCTATTGTGTTTGACTTGGTGATGGATTGATGCGTAAAGTTTAAGGTTTTTTGTTTGTTTGAGTGTTTTATGCTTGTTGAATTTTCTGCTGTTCTTTTGTTGCAATTCTCGAAAATTGAATTTCTTTGCCTCGTTTTGTGTTAAAAGTGGTGTGGAAGGGAAGGTAAAGTGCATCAAATTATCGGTGATAGTAATTTTTTATGCACATTATACTGTCATGAAATTACTACGCTTTAATTTATTTTGTTTTACTTAAATGGCCTAAGATGTTAAAAACCAAAACAGTTTTGTCAGGCTTCTTATATTACGTCCATGCCAACTTGAAATAAATGTCTTTGTTTGCTGAAGCATCATTCACGAGCTCATAAGTTCGGTCTTTTGTGAATTGATTTTTTCACTCCTGCACAGTCTCTTTGCGGTGGAATTTTTCACTCCCACCCTAGTTCAAAAACGATTCTAGCTCCCTGGATTACGGTCAG